TTCTCAATGGGGAAAAAAAGGTAATTTTTCAAATTTTAGGAATATTTTTGTTGTTGTTTTTGAAATATTTTATCTATTTTTTTTTTTTTTTTTTGGCATTCAATTTCAACCAAACAAAACAATGTCAATGAAACATTGATGTTTGCCATTTCATCATCAACCGAAAACAAAGCGAGGAAACGAAACGAAAAAGATTTCAATTTTAAATTGAAAATTTTTTCCATTTTTTTTACCCAACCAAACCAAATAAAAAAAATTGACTAATGTAACAAAAAAATGATGATGTTTTGAAAGAATAAAAAAGCAAAATGAATTCATCATAATCAATACAGAAAAATGAGGAAACAAAGAAACCATTTTCTTTTACTTTTTTTGAAAAAAAGTAAAAGATTCTGATTGAAATGATTTTGTTATGAATGAATGAATGAATGACCAAAATTTTTTTAAAAAAAATAATTCAATAAATTTCTTTCCCTCACGCTACGCTACCCCTTTCCATTATCTATTTTTACTTTTGTTTGTTTGTTGTTTACCTGTATGTTTTTTTTTTTGGTTTCGTTTCCATCAACCCCGCATATTCCATTTACATTATTATTATTTTTTTTAGAAAAGAAAAAAAATTGATTTACGATTCTGTGATTTTTATATATTCATTTTTTTCTGTGATTCACGATTCTCTCTAATCAAGATTGATTGTTTATGAAAAAAAACTTATTATTATTTTTACTTTTTGTTGACCTTTTCAATGCACAAAATGAAATAAAATAAACGAATGGAAAAAAGAGTTGCACATCAAATCATGATGATGATGATGATGGGTTCCAGAAGAATAACAAAAAAAATGAAAATTTTTCTGGAAAAAAATATAGGTGAAAAACAAAATGATAATATCTATTTCTATTTTAGATGTTTCCATTTGGTTAAAGTTTTTTTTTTGGTTTTTTCTACTTAACTTTTTTCCAAATTCAATTTTGTCATCATTGTTTATTATTATTTTCATCAATCATCAATCAACTTTATTCACTGATTTCGTTATTATTCGGATGTGATTTTTCCATTTTTCATTTTGAATTTTCAAGAATAAGAAGAAAAAATATATGGTGGATTACATTTCTGATAATAATAATAATAAATTTTATTAAACACACGCTGCCCGAAGGCATTTGTGTGATATTATTAAAGAAAAATTAACAAAGTACAAAAAGAAAACAAAAAATTATTGCGAAGAGATACATTTTAAATGATAGTAATTTTTACAAAAAGAATTAAAAATGTGAAAATTGAATTTAGATGAGAAAATTTCAGACAAATTAGAAAAATTATGTATTCTGATAGAAGAGAACAAAGGGCAAGTTAGCAAAACGTGTAATGAATCCTGTTCATGAAAGCCACAATCACAAGTAGATGTATGAAAAAGATTAAAACNTAAAAAAAAAAAAACGAATGGAAAAAAAGTTGCCCATCAAATCATGATGATCATGATGATGGGTTCCAGAAAAAAAAAAAAAAAAAAAAAAAATGGAATGAAAATTTTTCTGGAAAAATATATAGGTGAAAAACAAAATGATAATATCTATTTTAGATGTTGCCATTTGGTTAAAGTTTTTTTCTTTGGTTTTTCTACTTTACTTTTTTTTCCAAATTCAATTTTGTCATCATTGTTTATTATTATTTTCATCAATCATATTCAACTTTTTATTCACTGATTCGTTATTATTCGAATGCGATTTTTGCATTTTTGCATTTTTGCATTTTCCATTTTTGCATTTTCCATTTTTGCATTTTCAAAAATAAGAAGAAAAAATATATGATGGATTACATTTCTGATGATGATTATCTCATGATTATCTTATTATTTATAAATGAATTAAAAGTCTTAATTTCATTGGGAAAAAAACGAAACACATTTTATAATTCAAATTTAAAGTAAGATTTTTCAACTGTTAATCAAATCCGATTAGCGAAGAATTGTTATTGAAAATGTATCGAAATTTGTCGCCGTCGTCGTTTTAGTCAATTCTTTTCATCGAAATTTCATCTTTTTTTTGATTTATTTTTTCGAAATTCCATTTCAAATGTTTGACATTTCCAGAATATTCATCTCATGTTTGGCATTATAGAAACGAAAAAAATAAGAAATATATTGTTAATTAACGTTCAAAACAAAGATAAAAAACATTTCATTCTCGATAATATTAAATTATTGAATTCACTCAAAATATTTCTATATTTTTTTTTCGGATGTTTAAAAACATTTCAAAAATTCACTTATCGTGTGTGAATATAAATGAATATTTCCGATTGGAAATTTTCTAGAAATTTCCCCCCAGAAAAAAAAATTTCCATTTCTAATTTTTTTTGATATTTCAAAAAGAAATGAGCAAATGAAATGGAAAAAAATGAAACTAAAACACACAAGACCTGAGAAAAGAAAAGAAAAGATCATTTTTTTAGGCAATTTAGTTTGGTTTGTTTTTTTTCTGGAACCATAATAATCATTATCATTATCATAGCAATGAATAATTCTCACGCAATAAAGTATTTTTTTTATTTTGTTTTTTACTTTTGCTGTTGCTGCTGCTGTTCCAAAACCGGCCATTACACCTACACACAAACACACAGAGATAAAACTTTTCAATAATAAATTCGAATCAAAAAAAATACAAAACATAATCTTATTTTCAACTTTTTGTTTTTAAAGAAAACACTTTATTTCCAATCCAATGGTACAAAAACCAAACCAAAAATCTAATCACATTTTTTTTTCTTTGGTTGGATGTAAATTTTACAAGAAATTCTCCAAAAATCTCTGTTTACTTTTGCAAAAGAAAGAAATACAAAATAGCAAACACAGAAAAACTTTATCATCATCATCATTAATCGAGAAACAAAAAATATCGATCAATCGAAACAAGATCAAAATGTTGTTGAATCATCAATCAATAGGAAATGTTAATAAAAAAAAAGACATTTGAAATTCTACATTTGAATTATTCTTTTCGCTTTCAGTTTTAGATTTATTCTATTTTTAAATTCTCTCTCGATGATTATGTAAATATAATTTTTTCAAAATAATAATTAACACGACCAAAACTTGTTTTTGACCAAAAACAAAAACAACAATCATTTTGTAATTTGTAAACGAATTAAAAATAAACTCAACTTGACTTTATTTGATAATAATCATTTCAAAATTCCAATTCTAATCAGAAAAACATTATAATTATAATTATAATTATAAAACTTTTTCTTTGAATATTCATAATCATATATTATTAATCCATTAAAAATCATTTGAAAGTTCTATTCATGAATTTTTGGTTTTGAATTTAAACTTGTTGTTGTTGTTGTTTTAAATAGAAGAAAAAAGAAATGGAGCAAAAGATAATTTGTTGGTCTTCATTTTCTTCATCAACCTTTTTGTTATTATATAAATAAACATTATAGAAAATTAGAATGTCAAACATTTTTAGGTTTTGATGTTATTCATTTTTTGAACAATGTTTGTTTTCAACATAAAAAAAAATGGAATGAAATCTCTGTTCCATTGATTCTATGGTAGTTTGTATTTTGTTTTGTTTGTTTTTGGCTAATGATAACGATCAATATTTGTAAAAATTTTTCTGTGTTTTTTTTTGTTTTAGTGTTTATTATATTTTTTAACATCCAAACAGATTCTTAGTGGAACAAACAAAAAAAAAAGGCCAAAATGAAAACAAAAATACATTAAATGAATCAATGAATTATGGTTGAACTAGAAACAAACAAACAAACAAAAAAAATGTAAATTGTAATTTAAAATTAGGTGAACATTCGATAAGCGCCGGCGTCAAAATCCAAGTAAATTTTTTTTTGTTTCGTTTTGGAACGCGCGCCAAACGGTTAAAATCATAATAATCATATGAAACTTTACCGATTGGTTCGTCGTCGTGTGTGTTTGTATGATAACCAAACGACAAGAATATTGTGTATTATTCTCAAACTTCCAGACCGCTATACACGCAACAATATACAGTACACACTCACACACACAGACACTACACATTGAGTTTTGACGTTGTTGGTTAGTGGGCGATTCCTATCAACTTACTTACTTATATTTTACTATTTATCATATAACCCAAAATACTTTTTATTGGGAATAAATTCTAAACAGTATTTATAATCGAAAAAAAGTAAAAGTATATTTGAATTTTGGACATCAGAAACAAAAAACAAAACAAAATTGTACAAAATATTCTTCACATCATTTTTTCTAGAACAAAACAAAACACATAGAATCTGTTTGGTGCTATCTTCTGTAACAACAACAAGTGAAATTTTGTGTTTATGCAATAAAACAAGAACAACAATGAATCCATTTTGAAGAATGATAAATGAAGAAAAAAATTCAAAAAACAGAATCGAAATTGAATCAAACAATATAATTTCGATCAAACCAATCAGCAAAAATTCCATTTCCGTAGATTCCTACAATTCGTAATCAATTCAAATTCTTTGGAAAATAAATTTGATTTTTTTTCCAATTACGACGACGACGATGATGATGATGAATTACCTTAAAATGATCAAAGAAGTAGGAAAGATAAAATAAAAACCAACATCATTTTTGTTTTTTGTTCTCACAAAATTTTTTACATTTTTTTGTGTTTACGTGAATTTGTTATTTTGTGTCTGTCTGTGCGTGTGTGTGTTTTGAATTTGGGGTGCATTTAAATATCATCTGTATTGATTGATTGGTTTGATCAGTTGAAGAAAAAATAACAAAAACAACAACAACAAAATGTTCAATTTGATTTCATAAATTTTATGCAATCAAATCAAATCATCGAAAAAAAACAAAACAAAACAAACTAATGTCACTATTGCCTTCCGGTTGGATTCTGCTGTAGAATTTTTTTTTCTGTAATTGATTGATTTGTTGTTGAATTCTTTATATAAAAAAAAATCAAATTCTATTGAAATACTTTTCGTTCTTCTGGAATTAATCATATCAAACTTCCGTACTTTGAAATATTTTTCTGTATATAAATAAATAAATGTCTACATCTTTTTTTTTAAACATCAATCGATTTTCATTATTATTGGAACGAAATTAATCAATTTAGTTTCGATTTATTTAGTTTTGTTTCTGTAAATGAAACCTGATTAATTATAATGAATTTTTTTTATATAATCATAAATCAATAATAATCTACAAAAAAAAAACCAGCACATTTATCACGTTGATTTCAGTCTTCTGTTTGATGATCATAAGACTATAAGAATAATCAAAAAAATGAAACCTTTTGAATGATTGTTTTTTAAATAGAAAATTAAAAATAACTCAAATCATCTTGTTGGAACCCAAAAAAAAATTGGTTCTTGTTTGACGATAAAAAAAAAGAGAGCAATATTGAAAAAAAAACCAAACAAAGCAAAAAGCCAAACAAATTTCATTCATTTTTGCTAATTTAAAAATCACAATTTCATCATCATCGTTATCGATTTCATATTACCAAATCATTGGGTTCACTCTTTAATATATTCAAAATAACACACCATATTTGTACCGAATACAAATGTTACGCCATTTTATAAATAAATAAATATACATTTCAGATTTTTCATTGATTACAAACATTTTTCTAATATATTGATTATCATCAAATGTTAATAATAATCGATATAACGTGATTTTAGCCATGCATTGAACATAGATTCGTCATCATCCACCATCATCAAATTGTCGTCATCAACTGAATTCATTTCTGTTTATGTTGTTTTTTTTTTGGTTTTGAACTTTTCAAAGTCAAAAACCTAATGAAAATTATCAGAAATATAAAAACAAAAACGAAATTATAAATATTCATGGAAAAACCTATCTGGTGTGATTTATAGAAAATTACTTATTTTCATTTGATTCTTGATTGCATCATCTTTTTTTCTGTTCAAAGAAATACAAATTTCTGAATTTTTCTCTTGATTGAAAATTGTGAAACACCCCAAAAATACAAAACAAAATGATTCATTTTTTATTTTCGAATAAATAATTCTTTATTGTTTCATCACTACATCACTCATTGAAAATTGTTCCTAATTCTGTATTTTTTATTTCTTGATTTTGATTTTTTGTCCGAATAAAAAAAAATTATGTCAACCAAGATAATAATATCATCAACAATGTATCCACAACGTTTACTAATACAAATGTTTATCATAATAACATTTGCAGCGGCAACATTCATTATGACAGGTAAATTTTATCAATTTTTTTTTTGTCAATTTTCCATTTGTCAATATTTCATCATGTGACAAATATTTCAAATTTCACATTTGAAAAAAAAAGATTTCAATTATTTTTTTTCATTTTATTTTTCTTATGGGTGGAGAATGAGAATTCTCAATATGTATTTTTTCTCTTTATCAATTTCGGAAAGAAAAAGATGAAGAAAAAAAAATCATTTTTTTTCAGTAATGAATTTTTTAATATTTGAAATGAAAATGGAATTTTGCTAAGAATAGGAAAAAAAAGTAAACTTTTTCTAAATCAAAAATTCTTTTCATTTTTAGTTTCTTAGGTTCATAGAATATTCTTTTAAATTAAAGAAAGAAAAAAAAAATCCAATTTACTTAATCCAAATTTATGACTTTCTTATACATTCTTGTTGTTATCTAAATACTGTTTCAAATTTTGTTTTTGTTGTTTGTTTTTTTTTCTGATACAAAAATCATAAAATTTTGTTTGCAAAACATTGAACCAATAAGGGCAAAAACCAGACAAAAATAATTGGAAATTCGTTACATTCATTTTATTTTATTTATTTATTTTTGACCGAATTCTCTCTCTTTTGCCTTTTATAGATTTTATCATTATTATAATTCATTTACTTATTTCATACATAAAATGAAATTTGAAACAAATTAATTCCATAATGAACTTTTTTTTTTGTTGTTGCGGATAACAGTAAATGAAACTTGATGTCATATGATAATGTCGTAAATATCGTTTGTTGTTGTTATCAATGTTTTTACACTATTACTATCGATTTTTGATTTTCATCTTCTTCTTCTTCTTTCATCGAAAACTTTGAATAAATTATAATTAACTTTTTTTTTTCTTTCCTTTTTCGTTATATTACTTAATTAATTTGTTTGAAAGTATTAAAAATTTATCTTATTATTCTTATTTCTAATTAATATCCATGACATTACGAGTTTCTTTTCGGTGTTATTTTTGTACAGACATTTATGGAAAACAGAACTGAATATGAACATTTCCGGAATATATTCGACAATAATTCAGTGCTATTTCATTCAGATCAGTCTTATAGTTATTTATAGAATAATTTACATATGACTATTTAAATATATCCCGATAAATTACAGAAGAAGAAGAAAAACAAAAGATCAATAATCAATCAATCGATAAATATTCATTCATTGAATAGTAAAAATCTTTTTTTTTTCCGATGACCTACATATAATTATCGCCATCATTATTAGTCAGCATATTTTTCCTTATGCTTTTGTTTTGTTTTTGTAATTTTTCAATTTATATTGATTATTATAGAATCACATAGAGAATTATACAATTTACACACAATCAATCAATCAATCATTGTCATTTACCTTTTTTCCCGAATATCTCCTAATAATAAATGAAAATAATTATAATTTACATGATTGGGTAAAATATTATTATTTTTGATTTAATAATCATTTATGCATAAAATAAGATTATTGCAATAAAATAAAATAATATTATCATCATCATCATCACTTTTTTCCCACTTGAATTATTTCCATTATCATTCTTTACGTGTAATATGATTATTGTCGGAAGTGGTTTTCATTAGTTTCATTTGTTTGTTTGTTGATAATGTATGTGTGTGTGCGATTACCGGAATAATTCCCATTTATGTTTTTTTTGATTCATCAAATTTTTTTTTTGTTTGGAATCTATAATTTCTTCACCCATATATACCGATTCTATTAATATTTTCGGGTTATTCTTTGGTTGAATGAATGACATTTATTTTTTTTTGTTGTTGATTAATGTTTTGTGTTTTAATTATGACTTTTAATTTTTTTCATTTCATTATTTGATCATTGGAAATTAAAATATCTGTCATAGACACACACACTGATGATGATAATGATGACACATTTTCGTTTGTTTTTTTTCCAGGAAAATACTGTTATTAGATAATCGGATCTAAAATGTATTTTGTACAACAACAAAAAATCAACAAACAAAATTAATCCTTTTTAAATTAAGCCCATTGGGCATATTGTTATTCGAGTTGTTGTTTGTTTGTTGTTGTTATCCTATAGTTGTCATGATTATCGATAGATTATCTCATCCAAATTTTTTTGTTTACTTCAAAAATACATTACTTCAAGTGAATTTTTCTCTAATCAAATTTCTTTTTTTTCAAATATATTTTGTTCATTGACATTTATTAATTTTGTTTGTTTTTTCTCTTTTTTTTGGTGAACAAAAAATAATAGATCCAATAATAAATCATCAACGGGAAGATGATCAACAAATTATAACGAAAAATCTAATGAATAATAATAATAATAATAATGATAATAATAAACAAAAATATTTAGTATATGATGATGAAAAAACACGTGCTGCCATTGATGAATTGAATGAAGTATTACGTCATATATTTCCTGTAGTACCAAATAATCATCATATTCATCATCAAAATCATCATAGCCATCATTATTATTTTAATAAACAACCATTGCAGCAACAGCAACAACAACAACAACAATTGTATCAACATTATCCAAATCATCAGCAACGAAAACAGCAACAACATTTTTTCTGGTCACATGGTATATTTTCTGAACCATCAACATCATTATCATCAAATTTGGATTCATTGAATCAGCATCGTCGTCTACATCAATCATCATCATCATTACCATCACAGTTTTCATCACATACAGATATGAACGATGTTAATAGTAATTCTATTGATAATGAAGATGATGATAATAATAATGATGATGATGTTGATGATGTTGATCTAAATGATTCGGATATTATCATTCGTAGTAATAATAATAATAATAATTTTAATGATAATAATGATGAATTGGCAGCTAAAAAATCTAATCAAATTATTTCATTGGATAATACAAATCGACAATTACCATTACAATCATTATCATCATCATCATCATCATCACCATCATTCGTTAACATTGCAACAAAACCCAGTATTATGATGGAAAATATGGATCATTCGTCTACCGATAGGATGATTAATAACAATAATAATAATAATAATCAACAATCAAAAAATATATTATTATCAACGAAAACAACAGCAATGAAAATATTGCCACGAATATCATCATTATCATCATCATCGACAAGAGCATTAAATCTAGAATCAATTGATAATGAAAATAATGTCAATTCAATAGGAAATATTCATAATAATAATAATAATCATCATCATCATGATAATGATGTCAATGTTATTAATGCTAATAATAATAATGATGATGATCATAATGATAATAATAACAATGATGAATTATCGATATTAAAAGATCCAAATCGTTTTATTAAATTATTACGACATTTGCAACAATTTCCACATAATAGGCTATTATTACAACAACAACAACAACAACGACAAAAACAACAACAACAACAGAATAATCATCAAAAATCATTATCATCATCAATCATACGTACATCGACACCATTATTATCATCAACAAGTTCAACAACATTGGGCAAAAGAGGACCAGAATGTATGCGTCGTTGTATATTACAAGGATTATTACATCCTGTTCAATGTCATTCATTATGTTAATGATGATGAATTTATGAAAACAAAAAAATTTTTTTGATAAAACAACCAAATATCCCGGAAAATCAATTAATTATTTTTCGTTGGACATTGTCGAATAACGAATTATGAAGTATTAAATTCTGATCAAAATTTGCATTTTTTGTTTGATTGTTTGTTTTAAAAAACAAAACAAAAAAACATACGTTTTCATCATTCATTTAAATTCATTTGATTAAATTTGATTTCATTACATAAAAAACCAAAAACAAACAAACAAAAAAAAATGAACAGAATTTATCATCATCATCATTACACTTTGATAATCATTTTAAAATCATTTTTTCCATTCAATTTCAAACAGCATTCATTCATTCATTCATTCATTTTAAAAAAATATTCTTTTCACACTTTGATTCGAAAAGAAAATATTCTATTATCAATTATGCACACACACACATATCACACTTCAAAATCACACACACACACAATACACATTATATAATTTGTAGACTTATATTCAACAAAAAAAAAATGGAATAGATATTTATTTCAAAAAAACTAAAAACTAAAAAAAAATTTCCTGATGAATTATTCATTCAATTTAATTTTCCATTATTTTTCAATCTCTTCCTCAATCATTATTATCATTATTGTCGTTGCATTTATATTTTTCACAATCATTTCGATATGATATCATTTGTTGATATTTTATTTATTTATTCACCGACGATCCGAATCAATCAGTTTTCATTCACACACATACTTTCCATTTTTTCTTCTCACTCTCTCTCACTTTGTTTGTTTTGCACCAAAGAAAAGCATATCCATTTTAAATAATAATAATAATCTCTATAGAGAAAAGAAACGATAAAAAAAACAGAATTTTTTGTTTTCTTTAGAATTTAAATTGAAAAATTATCATCCAGAATCAACGAGAATATTTCCTTCTTTTACTTAGGTTGGATTATCATCATCATCATCATCATTGTCGAATCATCATCACATCAAAAATCAGATTTTAACTTTGTGTTTTTTTTCTCTTGGTTTGGCGTTGATGGAAAAAATTTCCGAGAATTCGTTCATTCAATCATTTCCGATTTCTTTTCCTTTTTTTTTCATTTAATATTTTTTTTTTCAAAACAAAATCATCATTGTTTTTATTGTTATTTTTAATGGACAAAAAAAAAATCTTCTCCTGAAAATGTCATTACAATCCAATCAACCAACAAACAAATCAACCATCCATTCACCCACACACGCACAAACATTCAATCACGTATTATCCACCGAAATGATATAGAAAAAATAAACCAAATAACAAAAAAAAAGATAATAATAATAAAAATCGATTAATTACATATAATTTAAATACAGTATTGTTGTTGTTGTTGTTGTTGCTTGTGGTTTTTTTTTTGTTTGTTTGTTTGTTGAATTTAAATCTTAATTTACTATATAATAATATATAAAGAATTGAAAAACGTTTCGTCATCATTTTCATTTGATATCATTACAAAAAACAAAATAAAAAATAAAATAATATTCTGTAGCACAGTACAAACGAATCAAATGTCAAAAAACTATTGTTTTTATCGTCATTCTGAATATTTTCATTTTTTCCCTTGATTTTTCAATAAGTTTTATTGTTGTTGTTGTTGTTGTTTAGTTTTTTTTTGTTCGGTTGTTGAAAAGAAGGTTCTTTTTCTCAATTCTAATAAAACTGAATAAAATTTTTTGTTTTTTACTTTATAACCATAATAATAAGAATGATGATGATGAAGGAAAGAAAGAAAGAAAAAAAAATAAACATTTCTCAGCTTCCGTTTGTTTTATATTCCTTGATATTTATTACGTTATTTATACGTTTTTTTTTCTATATTTGTTTTCGTTTTTGTTTATTTTTAGGTAATCATCTTTGTTATTTATAGAATTACGTTCGAAATGAATAATAATAATAATGTACATTTATCATGTATATGTTGATCTTTATTTGGATATGACCCGATCAACTTGGAATTTGAATGATTTTCATCATCATTATTATTATTATTATTATTTGTAGAATAAATCAGTAAAAAATCAGAATAATTTACAGATGTGCAAGTATAAAAAAGTCATCATTATAAATGTCTTTCATCATCATCATCATTATCTTAAATAAATATTAGAAAATTATTTCGGTAAACTTTTTATTATTATTATCATCATCGAGATAATTATGTCATTTAAATTTGCCAACTAAAGACTGAATCATAAACAAAAATTTGAATATTTATATTTTTCGCTTTATTTCTATTTTCACATTTTCAATTTGGATTTTCTGAATTTTTTTTCCTGACAAATTAGTGACAGTGAAGTGATGAAAAAAAAACATTTCATATCATCAATTTGAATCAATTTTTTTTCGTAGATACACATGCACGAACACACTGTACACACATGAATTTTTTGTTTTATCATATCAAAAAATGGAATCAAATTCAATGTCATCTAATGATAATGATTACGATTATGATTATGATGGAAATTGATTATTCGATAATTTGAATTGAAAATTGATTAGAAATTCAAAATTTTTTTTTTGAAAAATAAATCCCTAATGCCATCTATGAGCAATCATATTAAATGATTCAAAAATTGTAAACAAAAACAATATTGTTGAGGTTGATGAGGTGTTTTTTTGAGGTTTGGTTTTTGGTTTGTTTTGGTTTGATTTTTGGATTTTGGATTCGTTTATAATTATTAAAATGTTAGAACTTGAAGATGATCGTCGTAAATTGGCTAATGCTACAAATAGTTTAGCACGTTTAAAATCATTACTTACATCATCATCGGATAATTGTGTAAAAATGGTTGAAACATTGACAAAATTTGATGATCGATTATTGAAGCTTGAAGAAACAGTGCAACCAGTGTATAAAGAAACTGGTAATCTTCAACGTCAACAAGAGAATATAAATTTTTCATTAAAACGATTAGATTATGTTATAAAATTTTATACGGTTGCCGGTGAAGTTGAACCAAATATTATCAATGGTCCTGGATCATCATCAATGTATGCTGATTATATTGCTGATCTTAATCGTCTAACCGAAGCAGTTCGTTATTTTGAACATAATAATCGTGAAAGTCCAGAACTAATGAATTGTGGTAGTTTATTGGAAAAAGGTGGACAAATTATTGAAAAAGAATTTCGTCAAAATATGTCCCGTCATAGTGAAGAGATTAAAAAAGTTGATATTATTCTTGATATGATCAAAGCAAATGGTCCAGTTATTCAAAAACAACAACAATCATTTAATAAATCGATTGATAATAATAATGATGATCAAGAATCGGAAAAGCTACCGTCAACGACACAAGAACCTGACCTATATAAGGTATTTAAATTAGCCGATCGTCGTAATGGTAATCCTGAAAAAATTCTACATGATTTAAAATTATTAGCCGAATGGCTTTGCCATAATCGTAATCAGGATTTTGTACAACTTTATTCACGTTTACGATCTGATGTTTTATCAAAATCATTGAATAATCTTCGATCATATTTGAAATCATCAACACTTGGTTCAATGATTAATATGCTTGGTGCACATCTATCACCATTATTGGGTGGACGTAAAAATCTTCATCTAATGAAACGTATCGATATTTCTACAGCAACATTATCATCATACGATAGTAAAGATTTACTTGATCTTAATATAACGGAACCGGAAATTTTTGCCTATGTATTAACTGTAACTGGTTTATTGAAATTAATGCAATTAGAATTAGCATTAATTGAACGTATAATTCCGGTTGATAATCAAAAGATAATATTTTCTCGAGTAATTTTATTATCATTAGAATCGGCCTATCATGAAGGTGAACAATTATCAACACGTGTAAAACGATCGGTACAGAAACAGGATTTTAGTTCAGCACTTTTTCTATTACCCGTTTTACGTTATCATGCATATATGCGTCATTCATTTGATTTATTATTGGATGGTTGTGATTCACAAGTATCACATCGATTACATTCACTTGTTGTTACATTACAGACAACCATATCAAAAACATTGGAAGAATTTATTGAATATATTAAAAGTGATCAACATCATCATCGTGTACCAAAAGATGGTACCGTACATGAATTAACAAGTAATGTAATGTTATTCTTGGTACATTTACAATCATATTTAGATATATTATCACGTGTTGTCACTGTAACCGATATTCAATCATTAGAATTATCGGGTGATAAAAATCGTATTGCATTTGCACAATATATTTGGCGTGTATTATCAGCAATGGGTCTTTCATTACGTAAACGTTCTGAATCCTATCATAATGAACCATCATTACAATCATTATTTTTATTAAATAATACATTCTATATATTGAAAACATTAACAACTAGTTCATTATTATCAATAGTATCATTATATCGTTCAAATGTTCGTGATGATTATCAAGCACAAATTCATGAATTCAAAATGGGTTATTATAAATGTTGGAATAAAGTTATACATTATATTGATGAAATTAATAATCCAACGTTATTATCACCACAACGATCTGGTACAATGTCATCATCATCATCATATTCAACATTACCGAATTCACATTCATCATATAGTTTATCAGGTATGTCAACTATTGGTAGCCATCAACAACAACCAATGATTCGTTTGAAAGATAAAGATCGACAAATTATCAAAGATAAATTTGCCGGTTTTAATAAAGAATTTGAAACTGTTATACAATCACATCGATCATATGCAATACCGGATCGTGATTTACGTGAAGAGATTAAAAAAGAATTGATTCAATGGTTGAATCGTATCTATTTTCAATTCTATGAACGTTATGTAGCTGTAGAATTCACAAAAAATGTTCATAAATATATTAAATATACACCGGATCATGTCTCGCAATCAATTTGTTTGCTTTTTGATGAATTGGCTTGATTATTTTATTTCATTATTTTTTAATTTAAACAATAAAAATTTATTTTAAAAATCTATTCAACCGTTTCAGTTAATAATTCATTTTTAACTAATGTTCGAAAATATTTTCGATCAACTTTATCGATTGATGTACGTGGAATATGTTCAATGAACTTTACACCACCACGTAAACGTTTCTGAAATCCCATATTATCATGTACTGAATCGATAATTTCTTTCTCGGTCAACGATTGTTGATATCCATCACGAATTTTTATATAAGCTCGAACATGATAGCCATCGACAGTATGTGGAACACCCACAACACAAACACTATCAACGGCAGGATTCTGAAGGATGAATGCTTCAATTTCAGCTGGAATCACACTCCATTCACGAAATTTAATAAGTTCTTTAATACGATCAACAATATAAAGATAACCTTCATCATCATAATAGCCAATATCACCGGTATGATACCAGCCATCCGAATCAATTGAAGTTCGTGTTGCTTCGTCATTTCGTAGATAACCAACAAATCTATGTGGACCACGTAACAAAATTTCACCCTGTTTTTCAGCCGGCAATGCAACACCGGTTTCCAAATCGATAATTTTCATTTCAACACCCGGTGATGGTCTACCTACAGATCCAGGTTTAGGCATACGACCGAACATAAATTCTAAATTAAACAATCCAGCTAAAAATTCCGTCGAACCATAACCATCAATGAATAGAATATGATATTTTTTCTGTACATTTTCAATTATTTTCAAAGGAATTTTTGCCCCACCACATATTAACAATTTCAATGAACTTAGATCGAATTGTTTCTGATAATCATTTTGAGCCATTTGAGTTGCATGTTTAGGTGATAATGGTAAAAAGGATAATCGATTTTCAGCGGTAAATTGTAGCAATCGTTCCAATCGATTATTAATAAATAATATACTTGTTCTGCCATTCATTGTGTTTGAAAGTAAAATAAACGAACCAGATGCATGACTTAATGGATACCAAAGTATTTGATATCTTTGATTCATTTGGTTTTCATTATTAACATTTTCATCGTTCATCTGAAATCCAATTGAAGACAAAATTGAATGATTTGAATGTATTGCACCTTTAGATATACCCGTAGTACCAGATGTATAAATGATAATGAAATGATCATCTTTATCAATGGTAAAATGTGGTATTTTTGTGATATTACCACCACTATTTATCATTCGTTGATAATGATCAATTTTACATTTGCTACTCTTTAAAATTGTTTCAATATTCCCAATGATTGTAGTGATTTCATCGCTAATATCATGTTCATTCATTAAGACGATCAATCGTAGATGTTCAAGAATATCTTGTCGATATTTTTCATTTTGTAAAGCACTTTCTAATACAGCCAATTTTTGTTTACAATCAATAACCAATATGGAACCTCGTGAATCTTTCATCTGATGTGAAAGTTCAAATTTTCCATTGGCTGCAACGATTGGTGTAAATGTACATCCAGTAAATATTGCACCAATCATACTGACAGCATAATCGATTGAATTGTCGCTATAAAATACAATCATATCTTCTTTAATTAGATCATGTTCATTAATCAATGATGATGCAAAACGTTTTGATTGATCATACCAATCTTTATAGGATAATTTTTCCATATTACGTTCAGCATCAATCTAATCAAAATAAGAATTTCATTTTTAGTAATAGAATCAAAGATGAATTTAGATAAATAATGATTATACCAATCCAATAGTATCCGTTTTAGCCATTTGTTCCATATAAACAGCTAAATTTTCGGCAATTGTTTGAAATTTATGATTTGTTTTTTTCGGTGCAACATTCCGAACAATATGATGTTCATTGTCGATTTGAATATTTACAAATTGTTTGAGTAGATCATCTTTGGATGGTTGAATAACCGTTGTTGCAGTTGATGAAGGCATTTTATTTATTTTTTTTAAATTAAAAACGAAAGGATTAAAATCGAATGCTGAAACAAACAAAATTTAACGAATAATAACCAATGATTTTAACCAATTGTATTCGATTTTTATAATGTTTTTAAGAGCAAAAATATCTATTTTCCGGTGTATAATGATGAATGAAATCGCATCGTTTTAGTCATTATTATCGAATGATAATCAAGGAAAACAATTTTTTTTCTTATGCCAGTTGAACTCATCATTTATAAACGATAAGATAATTTTTTTTTTATTAAGAGTTTTCTCTGCTTCTATGGAAAAAAAATTATCAACTTATCTTATCATGGTCGAGTTACTTAACAAAAACCGAAACAATTTAATTGTACCCAAAAATCATCAAATTCATTGTTTATTCAATGGAATTGTACTGAACTTGAATTTTTGATTGTCCTTATTGATACCGATGAAAAAAGACCTTTATCGAACGACTCTATTATCATATAGTGAATTGCAAATTTCCTGAAAAAAAGAAACATCGTTGATTTTTTTTTGTGCAAAATATTTATTTATTTTTAATCATCACATTTTTTTGAACAACAAGAAAAAATTGATTGATTGATTTGTTCCAGTTTTCCGAACGATTATTATTGTTGGAATTTGATTCATTTTATAGATTTTGTTTTAGATATAATCATTCAATATGTGAACCACACCATTGTTGGTCGTTATATCAGCATATTGAACATGACCATCATTTACATAAAAAGATTCTAATGATTATTTTGAAAAAGAAATGGCAATTAGAAAAATTTGTTGAGAAAAAAAACATTAACATTATTTTAGAATACTTACGAGCTGATCGTCTTAATCGTAATGGTTCATGATCCATCATGCTTGGAACATCAGTTTGACGACCCTGGAAATTTGGATCATTTTGTTCATTTGCTGTAAGTGGTATCGAACTACGATAAATAGCACGATTAGCGACAAGATGTTTATCAACAAATTGTCTACATGCATTCGGATCACGAACAAGTGAATTTAATTGTCTGGGTGATAATCGTTTACGAATTGCATTATCTGTTGGTGTAAACATAGTATATGCTCGATCTGGTCGACTTAATTGAGGTGCCATTTGTGCTTGATCAACAATTTCACGACATAATCGTAGATTAGGTGATCGTTTCATAACGGAATAAATGGATTGTTGTGGTGGAAACAAAACTTCTCTAGTTGATACCATTCGAATCGGTCCAATTTGATGTGAATTCATTAATGGACAACCAGAAATTAATGGTTGATATTGACCAGTTAATGGTGATGGCATTATACTACGATCAAATCGAATTTGTCGTTCTGGTTGCATTGTTTGTATTGGTGAAAATGGTTCATAAGGTTGTCCTAATGGACTATGAAAATTACTACGTGTTGCTGGATATATTTGTTCAAATGATTCAGGTATAGCATGCATGAGCATAAGATCAGCATTACGTTTTGGTTGTTGTTGCATTGTATTGAGCATATTAAATGGCAGTTGTGATACAGCACTGTCTTCTGGTGCAAATAATGTTACATTGAATTCTTTTGCTTTTTCAAGAATCTGATCCATTACACCGCTGTTCATTAACCAATCAACAAAACGAGCACAACGAAGTTGTCTTGCTGATTTTCGCATTAATTGTTGCATTTCGCCAAAATCATTTGGATCTTCCGGTTCGATTCGTTGCTGTGGTTCAAATGCAGGATAATCTTCTGGTCTTTGTTCAAATGGATCTTCCGAATCACGTTGTTGTTCCAATGGATAATCATTCGGTGATTCTTGTTCTTGTTCCTGCTCCTGTTGTTGTGGTTGTGGTTGCGGCTGCCGCCCAACTGCAGCCGGTGATTTAGGTCGTCCATTTCCTTTTGGTTTACCATTCTTTTTCTTGGCTGGTGGTACCGGTGCTTGTTGTGCACTATCATCTGCATCTTCTGGCTGTTGTTTTGGTTGTTTTCCTTTTTTCGATGGTGATTTTGGTTTTGGTTTTGGTTTATCATTTTTTTGGCCTTTTGGTTTTTTACTTTTCGTTGGTGGAGGCTGCTGTTGTTGTTGCTGCTGTGATTCATCATCTTCGTCCGGTACTTCTTCCTGTTGTTGTGGCTCTTCTTCTTCTGGTGTATCTTCTTTAGGTTCCTGTTCGTCTTTTGGCTCTTCATCATCTTTTGGTTCTTCTTCGTCTTTTGGTTTTTCATCATCTTTCGGTTCTTCTTCGTCTTTCGGTTCTTCTTCATCTTTTGGTTCTTCGTCGTCTTTTGGTTTTTCATCATCTTTAGGCTCTTCTTCATCTTTAGGTTTTTCTTCATCTTTTGGTTCTTCTTCGTCTTTTGGCTCTTCATCATCTTTCGGTTCCTCTTCGTCTTTTGGTTTTTCATCATCTTTCGGTTCTTCTTCGTCTTTAGGCTCCTCTTCATCTTTTGGTTCTTCGTCGTCTTTTGGTTTTTCTTCATCTTTAGGCTCTTCTTCATCTTTAGGTTTTTCCTCGTCTTCTTTAGGCTCTTCTTCATCTTTAGGCTTTTCTTCATCTTTTGGTTCCTCATCATCTTTAGGCTCTTCTTCGTCTTTTGGTTTTTCATCATCTTTCGGTTCTTCTTCATCTTCTTTAGGCTCATCTTCATTATCATCACTTGTTTGTTGAGGAGCTTTTTGATTTGAATCTTCTTCAGGTTCTTCATCATCTATAGCTTGTTGTGGTTCTTTTGGTTGATCATCTTCACTTGGTTTTGGTTTCGGTTTATTTTGAGCAGGTGATTTTTGTCCTTTACCTTTTCCATTCGGTTTTTTACTCTTTTTTGGATATTGTTGTTGCGGTTTTTGATCAGATTGATCCTGATCTTCAGGTTCTTCTTCTTGAGCAATTTTTGGTTTTGGAGCTTTTTTAGCACCATTTCCATTAGATTTTGGTTTTGTTTTTCTAGGAGATTGTGGTAATGGACGAGATTCTTCTTCATCTGGTATATCCTCTATTTTTTGCTGTTCTTGTTGTAATGGTTCTTGTTGATAACGTTGTGGAAAACTATTTGACTGTGGTCGACGATTTTTAGCTTGTCTCAATACCTGTGCTGGTGGTGGTAAACGATTTTGTCTTTCCATACGAACATGTTCTTCGTTATTCAATATTTCGGGATTATTATCATCTGATCCAATCATTGATTGATTTTTATCATTGAATAATTGTGCTGGTACAAGTCGTAATGTAATGAATATTCGTGGTACATATACCGGTGGTTGTCGTGGTAACAAACGATTCATATATGGTGCATTATCGAATATAATATCATCAATAATAAAAATGATGCCCATTGGTGTACCAATTTGTCGTTTAGGAAATTCTTTTTGATTAATTCGAATTGTTTGATCGGTTTCTTCACAATCAATAGGATTACCATTAAGATTTTTCATACCAGGACGACAACCTTGTTCACCCGGTACCATATGATCGGATAAAAATTCTATTCGAATTAATGAAAATCAAAAATCAATCGGATCATTAATGAAAAGTTAATTAACTTACCTTGAACTTGTTTCATATTTTTTGGATTAGCATTACGAGCAATATTTCGAGTGATTGGATTATCAAATGGACAGAAAAATGTACCCGATTCACGTAATTTAGGTTCCATTTTTGCAATTTTCACCAATCTCGATATTGTCGATAAAATTGGCTGCATAGACATTACGGTCATCGTATTGATTGGTTCAGTTTGTAATCGATCAACTTTATGTACTAATGGACTTGAACCAACATGAAGATTTGGTCTTAAAACATTAAGTCTATCTTCTTTATGCTTTTAAAAAAGGAAAAATTGATTTTAATCTCCAAGGTCAAAATAATTTGGGAAAAAGAAATCATACCGATGGTTCTTCAGGACCATCATTTGATCGATAAATCGGAACACGTTGACCAACAATAGCATGATTATCAAGAAATTTTTTCTTATCCTCTTCCGACCAATCTTTTGGTGAATTATTGAATGCATCATCTACCGGAGCAAATATGGTCATGTTTGGTCCTTTGATTTTGTTTGAGAGGAAAAAAAAATACAAAATTAAACGAGTAAAATTTTATTGAAAAAAAAACAAAAATTTCATCATTATCAGTTAGTTTACCATTTTGATTGATAACATCACGTGTATTTGGACTATCCAATGCTGCTTTAGCATTATTTAGATCATGTTCTTCATCAAGTACATCGTTTAGAAAATCAAATGGTGATCCAGTTTTTTCTGCATCATCATCCAATACTGGATGATGATTTTCAGTTGTTGCCGGTCCAGGTAATATATTTTCTTCAGCATTTGCAATTGATGGTCGATAATTATTATCTAATTAAAATAATCATCATCCAAAATTAATTAAAGAAAATTCAATTGGAAAAAAATTAACATGCAATTTACAGAATTCGTTAACAGTTTTTTTGTTTATTTGAAAGATAGAAAACAAAAAAGTTTTACATACAATATGTTGGATTATTGAAAGGATTATTAAAATATGTTCGACGATTAGAACTGGGTAATAGAATCAAATATGGAGATTGACGGCTTGGTTGTGCTACATTTTCTCTGTAAACAATACGATTATTCAAACGAATTGTGGGCACTTATTTTTCATCATTTTTTAAAAAAGTAAAATAAAACGGAAATAAAGTTTTTTTTAATGAAAACAAAAATGTTAAATGAAAATTAATTATTAATTATTTTTAAATTGATATAGGTAAAAGTAATGTGTTAATAATTAAAATCTAATTAATTAATAATAAAAAAATTTTGAATATAAATCTGAATTTACCTTGAATGACCGATGATGATGGTCGTTGGCAATTCACAAATGCCAATATAACCAATATTATTAAATTCGATAATATTGACATTTTTTTTAAATATTTTTGGGAAAACAAAAAAAGTAGAAGTGTGAATACGATTCACACTGTTTGAAGATCAAAATAAAAATGAATAAATTGTTGTTTGAATGAATGATAATTGATTAAGAAATGGTCATCATACGATCAATGCAAGTTTGGAAACAACAACATCAACAACTAATCAACTGTTACGCCTCCGGATTTGGATTTTAAATCATGGATAAAATCCATTCATTCAAAATTTTCATTCTGTTCAAAAAAAAAATTAATAAGAAAGAAACAAAACAACAAACGATCAATTTGGTGATTGTCCATCATCATCATCATCATCATCTAACTTTGGGATTTTGTGTTTCTCATAATTATTTCTATTACAAATTAATTTTTTTTTCTTTCATTTCGTTTCGATACAAAGAATTAATTATTGCATCTTTTCATTTTCTCTCTCTCTCTCTCTCTCTCTCTCTCTCTCTCTCTCATCTGATCCAATCATTG